CTCTTATTTTATGTTCACACTCTATATACCCTCTGTAACTCTACTAATTCTAATATAAAAAGAATGCACCCTCAGTACAGAAAAACAGAAAAGTCAGTGATGCACAAATGTAGCAAAAATAGGAAACATTAGAACTGTAAATGTTTTCTTCCTTGTCTGCAGATTAACAGTCCACAGGTTGGGTGCTTGCACTCTGATTCGTTCCCTGGAGATGAAGGAGAGAGAGCTCAGAGGACAGCAAGATGGAGGAGTGAAGGAGAAGGTGGTGCAGCTCAGTGTCCAATCAGGAGTGAGCAGTTCTTTCACCACCTTCATTGCTGTCAACAAAGACAACAGAGAGGCGATCCAAGGACCTCTGCACCGCAGACATATTCTACCACCCTGTGAGGTTTGTTTAAAGCAAACAAAGCAATACCATGAAACTGTTAACAGCAGGATGTCAGAGTCAATAGAGAGGACTCAAAAGAGCAACTTCAAATCAAACTATTTATGTAGTAGGTGTTTCTTTGCCAATGTCTTTCCCCTGCATTAGAAAGTAATAAGCCAGATGGAAGTACAACACACATCTATGCATTTCTATAAAAACTGACCTGCCCTGAACTTATAATCTCTCTCTCTCTCTCTTTGTTTTTCCTTAAAGTGATGGCTGTCCATTCGTCCTGTAAAAGTTGTAAATATAAACCTGAATGAATGGGAGTAGAAACTGTGTGTGCGCATGAAGACATGCTTGTGTCGCTGAGATTGAACAGATTTATGTATGTTCACGTAGCCAAGTGATAATCATATATAATAATCACTGAATAGTAATAATGTTATTGAACAGGTTAAACATTTAGATATCACAAAAAGTTGCAAAAAAGCAAAAAAAACCCACACACAGCTGTGAAGTCAGCTGCACATGAATAACATTAGTACAATGACAACTTTAATCAGAGTGAGTTCAGAAGATCCAAAAGTGGGACACTAAAAACAAGCTAGTGAAAGCAAAAAGTGACTTTGAAAAATTTATTTCATAGAATTAAAGCACTGATAGGAAAAAAAACTAAACATGAGAAGAATGGCAATCCTGCAGCGACCAATCAAAGAAGACTGTAATGGCTGCATTGTAAAGAAGTGAGTGAAGAAAGCTGATTTTTTTTTAGTTTTTCTGAGATATGCAGAGTTTTAACGAACAATTTGAACACTATTATTCATTTACATTATTTGTTCTCAACAGAGATGGGCAGTAATGCGTTACAAGTAACGAGTTACTGTAATCCGATTACAGGCACTTGCCCTGGTGGCCATTCTTTCAGTGGGCATTTCTCAACAACAACTACAAACACTAGTGAAGTGAATGGGCATTTAATTAAATAATGAAACATTTAATTCAATAATTAATGGCATATTTAATTCATTCATTTTGTCACTCCTGGCCCTCCACACCTCACTGCCATGATTGTTTGTGTAGTTATTGGATTCTAAAACTACTAGAATAGAATAGAAAACACATAAGATGCAGTCTCTGTTTTTTCTTCACCTTATTAATTTGAACTGAACTGAAATAAATCCGTTCTTTTCTGTATGGTAATGACTAGGACCTGTCCCAGCTGTCTCTGGTGGATTCAGTATTGTCTCCAATGTTTCTGATAACTTCCAGTTTGGGAAGTTTCCCATGCAGGTGAGGAATGCAGTGACTGACAGACTACCCCTCCTTCATTTAGGACCCATGCCAAACACTGAGTAAAGACTTCCTTGCATTAAACCTGCATAGCTGTTTTCACATTTATAACAAATCACCTAAGTGACCGGCAGTGATCGTATAGTGCTCTGAGTTGTTGCCTAAACAAGCCCTCTTCAAATCGGAGTTACAGCAGAGAGAATATGGCACTGAAGCAATGATGACAGCTTTAATAACCTATTTTATCTTCAATTATTCTTGTATGAAATTCTCTTAAAGTAGCAACTGAATTTCAACCAACTCAGCTAGCGCTGCATATTTTATTTCCTCTGTTAAAATAAAATGTGGCGGAGCCCAGCTGTAATTGTACCTTGCATTAATATGGTGTATTATTGATGGTGACACAGCACTGCTTAGCATGTCGTCCTGAATCTCAGGTGTGCCAATGACCTGTGCAGTATATGAGGCACTAAAATCCTGGTGGATTTCTGGGATACGAACAGGACGGAGTCATGTGAGCTCTATCAATATTGCACCACTTACGTCTCAGACCTGTATTTATGTATTTATGCACTGAAATCGCGCTGTAATATCCAGTTAACTGTCCACATTTGTACTCTGTTTTTCCATTTATTATATTTTTTTTCATTAATTTGTCTGAAAAAAGATCCACGTAGTAACCAAAGAGAGACTAAATCAATGGTCTCTAATAGCAGCCAAATTATAAGAGCTTTCATTAGTGATGGTGAGATGAAGCCTTGTGATGAACTGAAGCTTTCCATCCAACTGGTCGACTCATGGTTCGAAGCATTGTGACGATTCATTGGCTCTACTGCGCCATCAAGTGGACGATTAAAGTCAGACAGGCTCAATGATTATAATGATGTGATGTGTAATAAACTTACAGTTTTTTCTGAATGCTTAAACCCTAACTGTGATTCCTGTTGCACAATCTCTAAAACTATTCAGACTTATAGCAAAACCACTCACTGAGTTTGCAAAACTAAAAGCACATAAACTGCTTTGCACTCAGTTTGCAATTTTGTAACACACACTTTGCAAAACGGTAGGCACAATTCACTGCACAACACTCAATTACCAAATTTCCAACACACTCCTAGCAAAAGTATACACATGTATGGCTATCATTAACACTAATTTGCCAACTGTCTGGCACACTTTCACATGTGAAAACTTTTTTAGATAATTAGTTCACTTTGCAATCAGCCTAAGCACTATAATACAGGTAAGCTGTGTGTGCGGAGTACAATGGAGGGAGCAGAAAGAGTGAGAAGTAGAGGAGGCCGAGGAAGAGGACGTGGAGGTGAAGAAGTAGGATGAAGAGGATGACAAGGACAAGGAGGAGCAAGAGGAAGACGAGGAGGGGGGAGAGGAAGATGAGGAGGGGGGAGAGGAAGGGTAGGAAGAGTAAGAAATAGAATTGCTGATGACAATAGTGGACCATGTAATCAACCATGTAATCAACCGTGGAATGACCCTGAGGGTAGCTGGCCAACGGGTCCAGCCTAACTCGAGCCGCTACACTGTAGCAAGTACCATAAGGACATCTTGAAATGAGAATCGGTTAGTACAGTCACTTCGCACAAAGATTTGTAGCACTGCCATATGCCAATGAGAAACACACCAATACCATTGATGTAAAAATACTGAAATTGTTACTTTACAGAATTGCTAGATGACCAGATGCTGGGGCAGAGGAAGCATGTTCACTGCAGACCAAGTAACCCATATAGTCATTATGGCGATTGCAAATAATCCTATACTTGGAAATGAACACTTGTGTTTGTTTTGATGTGTTTCAAGTACACCAGTACTTGAAGTTTGGATCCCTCTATGCTTATGGATCTATGACAGAAGTATGAGCTCAAACTGACATAGCCTACCTTGTGCACAGAGAAAGCAAAAGCCAGATGTGTTTTGTATTCATACCATCAGTGTGCAGTTGGCGCATTGTGTGCTTAGTAGATGATGGCTTGTGTGTACTGTTTGATACGGAAACACCATTTTTACGAAGGTGTGAAGAGTTAATCTAGCTGTGTTTGCTTTTGCAAGAGAACTACAATGTTTTGATTATTGGGTGACAGGTTTTCTTATTTGTGTGAAGAGTTTTGCAAAATTAGCCAATAGTTACAAAAAATGTGCTTAGGCATTCAGAAAAAACTGTAATAGAATATAATTTTATATTTATATTTCAATATCACAGTAATCTTCCAATTTAGAACTACAAGTTAAAAAAGAACTAACATAAATAAAATACACTTCAGCTAATTACTTAAAAAAATAATTTATTTTCCCAAACCACGCAGAGCCGCACTAAAAGGACTAAAGAGCCGCAGGTTGCTGACCCCTGCACTAACCTATTCAGCTGCTTGTGAATGCAAATATCTAATCAGCCAATCACATGCCAGAAAAAAAAAAGGGTGATTTAAGTGACTTTGAAGGCAGCATTGCTGTTGGTGACAGATGGGCTGTTTTACGTTTTTCAGACACTCCTGATCTTCTCAAATTTTCTCAGGAATTTACAGAGAACAGTCCAAACTGAAAAGCGAAATAAACATTTCCCTGGGTAAAAATGCCTTGTTGATTGCAGAAGTCAGAGGGGCGTGGCCATGCTGAAGGCAAGAGGAATTCTAAGCCAGTTTCTCAACCCAGCCCATCTGATATCAGTAACCACAACACATTCAAAGTCAATTAAAAGTCGCCTTTCTTGCCCGTTCCGATGCTCGCTTTCAACTTTGAAATGAGACCACTTGGACAACAGTAATGATAAATAATTGCAAATAGAGCACGTTTACAGAATTTAATGTCATTTTTATAGAGCACCTCTTATTTTAAGAAAAGATGGGCGAGACGATTTTTGAAACTAACTGCAAATTAAGCACACAATATTTAATATCTGTATTTTACCATTTTGATAAGACATATTTCAGTACTCCAAAACACTTTTATTAGACTGCCAACATGCTTACAAGTAGTAAATCCAGGTTAGTGGATCATAATTAAACATAACTCTGTGGCAAACGCAGAGTTCAGCAGGCCATCAAGGAAGAAGTGACGTGCATTTCTGCAGTGTAAAGATTCACAAATGATTTTCTCCTTAATCTACAGTCACACAAAGCGCCAGGAAAATCTTTGGTGATGTTCTCAGATGATTCTGACGCTTATCACCCAGTTCCTCGTGATGTCCTCCACACCATCAACCCTCTGTCCTCCTCCCAGTTTCTTCCTCAGCTTGCCTTTCTTATGGCCACCCCTTCCAAAACCTGACTTTTTAACTTTTAACTTTTTGTTCTTGGAGCGGAGCTTCCTCATCCCCCGCCCTGCAGGAACTGGTGCTTCTGCTTTTTCTTGCGCTGCTTCATGATCTGATCCTTTGTTTTCAGCTCCGAGCGTGCTTTGTGGTCACCGGAGCTCTGTACGTTTGGACCTCGTCGGCCACGGCCACGACCTGGGAGAGGCACGACACAACAAAGAGGTTGGAGGTTATAGCTCGCAAGGCTGGAAGAGGGACTTGAAGTATTTACCTTTAGAGTTGAGTTAAAACATGGTGGCTGATGTTCTATATTTAACATGTTTGTGCTATTCATTTTGATGCCTTCCTACCTCTTGCTGGCTTTCTGCCTCCTCCGCCTGTTTCTCCATCTGATCCAGATCCTGTATCATCAATCTTGTATTTTTTCCTTCACTCCTCATAACTGACATGTTGTCAAGTGATACAACATCTTCACAGTACAGCTTAATATTGTCATAGGAGTAGAGAAGAGGGTCATTGAGAGCAGCACACAGAGAAGCTTTTTGTTGGAAGGATACAAGTTCTTCCTGTTCTTCTTGTTACTGATAACCTGACCGCTGTCTGTTTTGATCTTCTTCTTCTGGTCTTCTTTTCCCGTTTCTCTCACAAAACGCTTCCTCTTACGGTCCCTAAAAAAAGAAGGGGGAAAAAAGACTTTAAATTATAGTTTGAAATGACCATTTGGTGGATACTGAGTCAAACATAGGGAAATTTGTACCATTTCATCATTTTCTTCTGCTGGTTAAGGCGATCGCCTTCATCTCCCATGAGATCAAGGACAGCTGAAGAGGCCTGCTGTTCAAAAGCACTGCCCTCTCCACCGAGACTCAACCTGTCGACGCATAACACAGGACAAAACAGCATAAAACACAAAGCCATTCACATTTTTTAAAGAAACAGATGCAACAGTTTAATGCCTCACCCTCTCTCAGAGTCAAAGTCTTTAGGTCTGTAAGGGATATAATACTCTTCATCTTTGCCTGACTGCCTCTTTTTCTTGGTCTTTGGTCGCTCTTCGCCATCTTCCTGCTGACCTCTTCTTTTACCACCTACCACCTCTGAAAACACCCCCTGGTGGAAATAGAAAGAATTACATGGTACAAAGTGACAAAGCATGATACAGAGATCCTACTATCTTCCTCTTCTAGTTTGTATACAACATCATCTACATCAAAACTGCACTTTATTTTGCTTCTTCTTCATCAGACAGCACAAACAACTTTCTCATTTTGACTCAAATATTGGTTTTGAATGAAAATGATGAAACAATCCTGGTGTTTATTCAACTTGTGAGCAGGTTTTCTAATCCACCGTACTATTATTATTGACACTAGTACATGTTCGTGCTGCTGGCAAACTAATACACTCAAGAACATATAGCAAAGCAAAAAAGTGAAAAGTAGGTCTTGCCTACATAAATAAACATAAGACAGTTGTGAAACTTTGACATAGTAACATCTGCAGTAATATTTACACCTGTGATGACATCTCACCAGCATTAGCCTTATTTTGAAACCAAGATTGTTTACACAGAGTTTGTAATTGCAGAGAAATGCTCCATTTATTTTGGTCATTTCATTTTTGAGCAGGAAGCTCACCTTTCTTGTTATAGCCTTTAGACGAATAGAGAGTTTTCCAATTAAATACATATTCTTTAAATAATGTTCCCTCTTATAAAAAGTAGGATAATTTAAAAAAAATTTAAAAAATGTATTATACCTCTATTACTTAGAAAAAAAACTGTTTTTTTTCTGTTGTCTGTTATATAACGTTAGTGATGCTCGTTTCAATTCATTTCTTAATCAGCTAAACAGGTCAGTTAAGAAACAGTCAAATATTAAGTTAAATTTGAAAACGGTTTAAAAAAAAATATCCCATTCCAAAATGTCACATGACAATCTCATTGGCTCACGGAGTTATGATGTCACTACACGATCCTTTGAAGTTTTTCCTTAAACAGGGGTGACACACAGCAGTTTTTTAGTTCGTGTCTTCGCAGCATTTGTGTTTGCAGCCTTCACACGTTCACCACAGAAACTTTTGGAAACCTTTTCAGAGTTGTCGTGTACAACCTTCAACATGTATCCAACAAGACACCAACCAAGGCAAAAAGATTACGCCGCTTCTCCTTCCTGTCGTGGCCGGCCAATTTCCCCAAATGACCTCTTAGCCGTCCAAAGGGCATTACATGACAGTAAGAAGGAAAACTACCATCTCCAGAATAAAATTCAACAGATTGAAGAAGAGAAACTTCAACTGGAGGAGAAGTGTAGACAGATGGAAGCGCAAAATAAGAACCTGGAAGAAAGACAAAAACGCCAGCCCGACATAAATATTATTAATGAGGGTTGGGGAATCAAGTTTGGACAAGCCCGAGAGCAGGTTGTCTTCCTAATTAAGGAAAACAAGCAAAAGAGCGTGGAACTAAAGGAGATGTCCAACCAGCTTAAAGACAGCAAAGCTACTGTTGAGAAGACAGAATGGGATCTCCAATATATGGACCAAATGAATCGGCTGCTCCAAACAAACTTCGATGAAGCTGTGAAAAAAAATGAAGAAATCCTCCAACAGAAGGAAGAACAGGAGAAAAAGCAAAGAGACATGGAGCACAAACTCAAAGTCACGGAGGAAAAATACAGAATGCTGAAAGAGAAGGTGGATGATACTCTGCGCCAAAATAAAGACCTTCTTCACGAGAAAAAGCAACTAGAAGGGGAAAAAGAAAAACTGGACAAACAATGCTCGCACATGCAGAAAAGGATGGAGCAAATGGCGAGAAACAACTCCGAGCTCACTAAGGGGATATTGTTGGAATACAACAACTTGAAGCGCAAACACACTGAAATGCAGGCGCAAAAGCAAGAACAAGACAACATACATGACGACCTGCAGCGTACGCTCCAAGATATCCACAAAAGAAATGAGGAGCTACAAGACATGTACAAAGAAGTACAACAAAGAAACGCAGACATGCACAAGGACAAGATAATGCAGGAGGAAACATCCAAAGAGCTCAGGGAAAAGCTTGAAGAAAAACAAGCAACGTTGGAAGAGGTGGAGAAAACGTGCAAGAAGCTTGAGAAACAAAACAAAGAAACCATCGATGAGTTGAGAACCCTCATCCTGGAAAAAAAAGCTCTTGTAGAAAACTGCATGAAAAAGAAGAACAAACGCTTCCGCTGGCCCTGGAGGAGGAACTCTACTGCTTCCTCAGCAGGTGTAGCCTCGTCTTGCTCCACCTCTGTTCACCTCCCCAACCAGTCCCGGCAGTTGACTGTCCCCTCCTGAGCCTGGTTCTGCCGGAGGTTTCTGCCCGTTTAAAGGCAGTTTTTCCTCCCCACTGTCGCCTAGTGCGTGCTCAGAGGGGATTGTTGGGGTTTTCTCTCCTCTACCTTGTTTCATTATTTACTTAACTTTTTGTGCTTACTTCATTTTACCTTGTTTCTTTATTTACTTAACTTTTTGTGCTTACTTCATTTTACCTTGTTTCTTTATTTACTTGTTAACGTTTTGTTCTTACTTCATTTTACCTTGTTTCTTTATTTACTTGTTAACGTTTTGTGCTTACTTCATTTTACCTTGTTTCTTTATTTACTTGTTAACGTTTTGTGCTTACTTCATTTTACCTTGTTTCATTATTTACTTGTTAACGTTTTGTTCTTACTTCATTTTACCTTGTTTCATTATTTACTTGTTAACGTTTTGTTCTTACTTCATTTTACCTTGTTTCATTATTTACTTGTTAACGTTTTGTTCTTACTTCATTTTACCTTGTTTCATTATTTACTTGTTAACGTTTTGTTCTTACTTCATTTTACCTTGTTTCATTATTTACTTGTTACGTTTTGTTCTTACTTCATTTTACCTTGTTTCATTATTTACTTGTTACGTTTTGTTCTTACTTCATTTTACCTTGTTTCATTATTTACTTGTTACGTTTTGTTCTTACTTCATTTTACCTTGTTTCATTATTTACTTTTGTTTTGTTCTTCTTCTTTTATTTTTCATTATTTACTTGTTGACGTTTTGTTCTTACTTCATTTTACCTTGTTTCATTATTTACTTGTTTAACTTTTTCTTTTTCAACTTATTCATAAAAAAATAAACCAATTGAATTTATCCTTTGAGTATTTTTCATCTTTTCATCTATAACTTTTTCAAACATTCATATCTGTCGTTTATCTTCTTCTTGAAACCTCATAAATGCTGAAGGAAAAATCCTGGAACATGGTTTGAAACACTGAAATTGTTTCAGCTGAAACCGGCAAAGTCATACGTGTGTGTGTGTGTGTGTGTGTGTGTGTGTGTGTGTGTGTGTGTGTGTGTGTGTGTTACTCTGTACATGAAACAACTTTGTAGAAAACCATTTTCCTGTCGAAACATTAGCAAACACAAACAAAGTGTTATTAACAAACGAATTACTAATATCCCTCTCTATGATAGTGATTTATTTTTTTACGGGATTAAAACTGTAAATTTTACCAAACTAAAGAAAGTAATACAAAGTAATAAAACTTTTTATCATTTAGTTAAGATCCAACATCCATTCTTTTCATAGTTGGTTGCTACCACCAGAGGGCGACATGGAGTACTTTTACCCATGTAGAGAAACATAAACGCTCATATATTACACACGCACCAACATTTTACTGTCTATTACTACATCAGTCTGTTTACATTAAACTGATATTGATAAATAAACTCACAAATATAGCTTCATGAATTTGGTAACGTCCTGTAAGTCATATCGTCAAATGCTTTTGTTCCAAAATAAAAAGGCTGTTGAAATAATGATTGGTGTGGTTTTTACAGGTGAATGAGCAGCAGAATAACTACAGAGAATCTGTGAATACATGAATGACCTTTTGTAATATGCCTTTAGCCTATTAGTGCCCTGAAAGAGTGGAGATTTTACCTATTTTAGCAAAATGATCTACAAACTGTATGGGTGAATATAGGAGCTTGTTAACAGGTTAGCATGTCCAACTAACAGACAGGAAAATGAGCTATGTATTTTTTAGATATCATGTTATCAGCTGACCACTGAAAGCTCTTTCTGCATATATCTTCTACACGTTCTGTCTCTTGTCACGTGTGTGTTTATATTTAAATCATGTATGTTGATTATTTAAATATGCTTTTTCATTCATTTTTAAAAATGTCAACAGCTGTCGTTTACAGATTCATTGTTTACTATATGCTATATATATATATATATGAACATGAACAAAACTGAAAACACTGGGTCACCGACCCAGGAACCCTGACAATATGTATTTTACCTGGTTAATGTGTGTGGCGGGGCGTGGTCTGCAGCGCCGCTGCAGGGGAGGCGGACGCACCTGAGCGGCACCCGCGATCACGCCTCGGCGCCTTAACGTCTGTGCTCTCTATGCTGTTGTGTTGGTATGTGTCGGGCTGTGAGCTTTAACACCGGCTGTATGCATACAGCAACCGTGTGTGAAAAGTGGTCAATAAAGAGAAGCTGTAAAGCGTGTTCATGGAAACATCGTTGGGTCTGCCGTGATATGTTTACAATGGGACTTCTGCTCCTGAATCTCTGCGCACAGCGTCTGCAAATCGGAGCTGTATGAAGTCACTTTCATCTTTATGCAGGACTGTAAGCTGTCATCTGTGAGGCGTGAGCGGTGTTTGTTTTAACATAGTTCACGGTGGAGCTGCTGACATAATGTGGATCCGAAGATTGATAATTAGCCTACCTGGGGTTGAAAGTCTCGATAAATGCACGGCGTTTCAGCGGGTATATCGGCTTCCGCAAGTGTGACGCTTATTTTGAGCGTTCAAAAACTAATAGAATATAATTTATATTATATTTCATTTCAATATCACAGTAATCTTCCAATTTAGAACTACAAGTTAAAAAAGAACTAACATAAATAAAATACACTTCAGCTAATTACTTAAAAAAATAATTTATTTTCCCAAACCACGCAGAGCCGCACTAAAAGGACTAAAGAGCCGCAGGTTGCTGACCCCTGCACTAACCTATTCAGCTGCTTGTGAATGCAAATATCTAATCAGCCAATCACATGCCAGAAAAAAAAGGGTGATTTAAGTGACTTTGAAGGCAGCATTGCTGTTGGTGACAGATGGGCTGTTTTACGTTTTTCAGACACTCCTGATCTTCTCAAATTTTCTCAGGAATTTACAGAGAACAGTCCAAACTGAAAAGCGAAATAAACATTTCCCTGGGTAAAAATGCCTTGTTGATTGCAGAAGTCAGAGGGGCGTGGCCATGCTGAAGGCAAGAGGAATTCTAAGCCAGTTTCTCAACCCAGCCCATCTGATATCAGTAACCACAACACATTCAAAGTCAATTAAAAGTCGCCTTTCTTGCCCGTTCCGATGCTCGCTTTCAACTTGAAATGAGACCACTTGGACAACAGTAATGATAAATAATTGCAAATAGAGCACGTTTACAGAATTTAATGTCATTTTTATAGAGCACCTCTTATTTTAAGAAAAGATGGGCGAGACGATTTTTGAAACTAACTGCAAATTAAGCACACAATATTTAATATCTGTATTTTACCATTTTGATAAGACATATTTCAGTACTCCAAAACACTTTTATTAGACTGCCAACATGCTTACAAGTAGTAAATCCAGGTTAGTGGATCATAATTAAACATAACTCTGTGGCAAACGCAGAGTTCA